AACCACCTAATAATGACTCGAGACATATTTACCGCAGCATTCCCAACTACCCTCTTATTTCCCGCATGAATGTTTGTTGAAACAGCCCACATTATTACATGAGGTTTTTCTTATAATGTGAACGGCACATTTAGAGGCGGAACACACACAACGCATGTGGGGAAATCAAAAACTACATGTAGAGGTAAAAGGACTTGAATTCTGACGTGTGTCTCTTTGTGTTTTTTTTTGTATTAACACTCAGATAATACAATGTGAAATCTTAACTTTGGGTTCACAGGAAGTGGAGTTGACTCTGTATTTGAAGCAAGGCAGGCTGTTGTTTACTTGTGTTTCTGGAGCTAATTTTCAAAGAAAAGAACTTGAAGCAAGAGTGCAATTTCAAAGCAATTGGTGCAGTGTGTGCACATAGTAATGAGTGAACAACTAAATAACCAATACAACTGATAAACATATGAAGTCACAAAACAACAGAACATGACCACAATGTATTCTATAACATGTTGCATGTGTTGCTCAACCAGGTAAACCAGGTTGTTTGTTTCTTCCCCACATTAAGCTGTAATACAGAGGCAAGCAGTAGCAATCATAGGGGAAGTAATGTGTATGCATGCATGGTGTTTATTCTTCCAAATGTTATTTAACACAAATTGCTTCAGCAAAAGCTATGGTCGAATGTGAAGGTTAAAAAAATGGAGGAAAGTAAACACGAGAAAGTGAGCGACTTGTTTCAGCACTGCTGTAATTTCAATGTGGCTTACACTGGAGGCTCGTAAAGACCTATAATTTACAGCATGGAGGCTGTTCTTATGATAAAGTCTAATCTCTTGCTGTGAATTTTATTTACACTCTTTGGATGAGTCAGCAGCAAAATAAGTCTTGATTCTTAGTTCTTTTGTGTGTTTACTAAAGGTTTTGATTGCATGCTGAACGCAGACAAGTATGAAGGGCTGAGGCAAAAAAAGCCAAGCCAAGCATTTTCTGACAACTTCATCAGTCCTTTAAAAAAAAAGAAAGAAGAAAAAACAGAGACAAGGGCCGGCTGTGTGTATTTACATATATACTGCATGACCACAATGAATAAAACACCAGCAAGCTAGGCTCTCCTGGGTCAGTTCAAATGAAATAGAGAGTTTACACTTCAGTAGTAGGCCATACATAAATATTGTTTCTCTAAATATGAATATGTTCCAGTCGATCAACATCAATGCATCTGTTTTATTTTTTCTCTTCTATTCTTTATTATGTAAAACTACGCCTCGGAAAACATTCGAGCTCTGCACTAATCCTCTCACTTTCCACCTGGTGAATTTGACCCAATTTCACATTTCCCCCATGCGGCCATGGAGACTGTTTTTTATTGAATCCACGTGTAACTGAGACCACTGACCCAACTATGTACTTTGGCTCATAAGAGGAAGAGAAGAGATGTGATATTTAGGACATTAATAGTTCCAAACTTGGATTTTATGTTTTCGTTCTCAGACTTTTCTCAGACAAATATGTCCTTCGTCTAAACTTGCACCACTGAGGTAGCTCTTTTATGCTGAAAAGTTAGAGTCTAAAAATAGGCGTAGTGTTAGGGAAGAATGAAAGCTCCCGCTCACAGTATAATATCATGTTCAAAAGAGAGCTGCATGGGGCTGAACTTTAGAAACCTGAGGAAAATGTTACCATAAACCTGCTCCCAGCTGGGCAGATCATTTTTCTTACAGGACATCGATTGTTGAGAAATGACAACAGAAACTTCACATGATATTTAAGAAAAATGATAGAGCTCAGACAGCATATTAAACATTGCATGTCACATAAGCAGAGACACCTCTCTTCAAAATGAGGACACAGCTGGTAGGACTGCACAGGTAAACATTACACATTTAATCAACTGGTATTGTGCTGTGTTTTATTGGCTTAAAAACGCATAATGGTTTCTAATGATAGCCTTAATGCGATGACTGAATAAATCCGAACATCATGAAATACATTCTTCTTGTTTTTGTTCCTTTTTTCTTCATGACAAAAAAAGATGTAGCCTGCAGCTGGCAAATCGAAGCAGTCAACAAATCATGAGTACATAATTAGGGATCTGCTTTGCTCAAACACGCTGATGTCCAGTTTGTCATTCAGATGATATCATATTTGTTTGCTGATGGCGTGTTAATGCTATGTTTTGCAGCTTACAGTCAAATCCTAATGGGCTTCCAGCTTTGAAGTGTAATTTCACCAACAAAGAGGCAAATGTATTGCACATAATTATATCCATAGTGGTTATCTTCCTTTCCATAAGAAACACAATGACCTAAGATGAAGAACTGTAGTCTGAAAAATCTATATTTCTATGAGAACTTGTGATGTGCCCAAAGGACAACATCATGGCCTTTTGCCACACAATAATATCCTTATAATATTCGAATAGGACACTATGCAGTTTTTGTTTTCTGATCCACTAAGCCTCAGTTTAAAGAATAGATTTCAGCCTGTACTTCATCCAGCTCAAATCCAATTCATATGAAGCAACAATTAATGACCATTTTCGGCCAACTGTGATTTATGATTGATTGACCAGTGTTATATGTTCATACTATACATAAATGAATTAGGAAAAGTAAAAGCATGCATTGATACATTTTTAGCGAAAGTATGAAGTAGACATGATTTAGTGAAATAAGTAATCACACACTGCCATTAGCAAATGTGCAAATATCTTCATCATCGTTGGTGTTTCCCTGCTGTCTCTCAATGATGGCCGGCATTTTTTATTTAATTATATACATGTTTTCTTTTCACCTTTGTCTAAAAGTGAAAAGTGTGAATGCTTTTATCAACACCGGAGTTGGTGGTAAGTGGTGTGTGCTGTAGCTCCTCGACTACCAATTCACATCCATTAATAGCTTTGTATCTGAATAGTTTTGGTCCCAAAAGAAAAAAATGTAATGACTACAACTTTGAATTATTAAAATGTACTCCAGTATTGCTTGACAAGGGAGTATAATGTTTTTCCCCATATAACTTTTTATTCTGAAATTCGTATCAATTCCAGTTGATATTCCCTCATCCAATTTTATTAGCGCTAACCCTAAACTAACCTTATATTTTGAAGTATTAATAATAGCTTTGCAAAGCAAGTCACCTGTTTATTGCAGTGTTTTTTTTTAAGGAATTGTTGTGCACTTGACACTGAAATAGTAACCTTCAGATTTTGATAATAAGCTTCAAATTACTCTTACCAGTCATTGGGGATATTTTATATTCCTATTGAAATGTTGCTCAGAGGTATCTGTGTCTCTTTCTGTCCTTTCCATAGACTGGTTAAACCATTGTACAGCAGTTTGTCCTCAATGCAAAAAACACAAACTATTTAGCAAGACCCAAAATAATATATATTTGCAAATAGGACTTTCTACAACCTAAAATGAGAAACCATTCAACAATATCATTGTACATAATCAAGCTTCCAGGCAGGCAAATCTAAACATTTGAACGGTAGCGTATATACATATATATATACAGCATAATGGGGGTATGTGAAAATGATATTCATACATTCCTTTTACCTATGAAGGGAAAAATGCACTTTGAATTTGATGCAAAAATACAAATTGGTGGCAATTTATACCCATATAAATAGCTTTCCGTGTTCACATGTTTACATGATTGTACATTTCATTTAATGTAGTAAATATATTTATGAGATTTCTGTGGAGCATTGTAATGTTTAATGTTCCAAAATCCTGTTTCAGATGCTTTCCCGTGTTGATAAAAATACAATTAAATGCAAGGCCCTGAACATTGAGTTTTCTCATGTACATATGAAAGGACACTGAATGTTTGCACGCATCGTGTATCACCCCCTGCTCTGAGAAACTGATTGAATATCAATGTATTCAGGAAGGTTAGGTGCACGTTTGTATGAATATGACTACTGGATTTGTTGTGTGCAAAGTGAAGGCTGAGGGTTAAGTTTTAGGATTGTATATTGCGGTTCTTCTTTCAGCAAGTATTTTCATGCATTTTTATATTACTATTTACACTCTACACAAAACAAACCCACTCACTGGCTATGTTATAACATAGCTGGGTATACTGTACGCACTATTTATTGACTCTTTATATTCTCTACACAATTGGAATTTACCATTCTGACATGCTATAGCTGCAGTTACTTAGTGGTGATTTTGTACATTTTAGGGATGCAATTAAGTATCTTTAGTATCAACTAATCTGTATAATTTGATCCATAAAATGTTATAAAACACAAATTGACTTCTCCAAATAGCTTGCTTTGTCTAATCATCACTCAAAAACCATACAGATATTCTGTTTTTCTCACAAAGAGACAAAGAGAGCTGCTCATTTTCATAAGTGAGAAGCTGGAACAATACAATGTTCATCTTAAAGGATTAGTGAATTCCAGTATAGTTCCAGATAATTTTCTATCTGTCAACTTTATCACTCATCTTCATATGCTTTTATCTTTATATCCTGCTGTTCGCGCCATCTGATTAGATGCTTTAATGTTATAGCAACAAGATGATTTTCAAGTGCTCAAATTAAGATTAATCTCTCTCCTAACATGAGTGACCCTGTTACAAGGACAAATGCACTAAAAGAGTATATTCTGTCGAAATCCACCAATTAAATCAAGTATGTTTTCATCCTCAATTATTTCATGTTTTTTATCATAAAATACTAATTATCATTAACATGCTTTTGGTAATAATTGGCCTTGTTTTCACACTCCTGATCAAACAGTGGGGAATCATGGGTTTGTCTAGGAGGAAATATAGCAGATTGTGTTTGTGCTTTAACACATGCATGAAATCTGAGCACACAGCAGATATAGGCCTTAAGGGTTTAATATTATAACATTAGCCTTTAATGCGGGCTGTCATAATTAGCAGTAGGATCCAGTCCGTGTCTTGCCAGGACTCCAGCTCAGGTTTTGTGCGCCGCCCTGCACAGCCAGCTGCTGCAGAGAGGGGACCGGTGCGCCGTTTCTCCTCGCCTTGTTTGCCTCCAGTCCGACTGTAGCTCCGACTGTCTGCACGGCGTGTGGATGAGGCGCAGAGAGAACAACCAGCAGCGCAGAGAAAGCTAGACTGAAGAAGTCATAATAACCCTCTCCGGGGCTTCATCTTTAAACCAGGCCGCTGGAGACCTCCACACAGACTTGACGTGCTCGGAGTTTCATTTCGTAGCGAGACTGGGGTGCATCGTCTCCTTGAAGTGATCTTTTTTTATGCAGTCTACCCGTATAGCGCTCGTGTCGGAAGGAGCCTGGCTGCACGCACAGGAGGAAGGAGGGAGGGGGAGTAACGATCATTACTTTTGAACAGACCCTTCGACATGGAGCTATTCGTCCGGTCCCGGACCCTCTGGCTTGAAGAGGAACAGATACCTGCCACAGGAAACCCCACCATCTGTCCCCAGTGAAGAAAGTAGAGCATGCAGCCGAGCCCCAGCCGTCTTTGTGCGACCCGCTGCTTAGTTTCTGGGGGCCTCTTCTGAAAAAAAGGAGAGGAGGGGGGCTCCTAGTGTTGATCTGAAATTCACACTCCATGCCGGGATCCATATTTTGGCACGGCGTACCACAGTAAGTAGCCTTTTAAAAGCGGATGTTTTGAGTGTTTCAAGGGAGATGCCGGGTTATGCCTCTGCTGAATCAATACCATTTATTTAAACTCCCTGGATATCATAAGGCAAATGTCAGAAAAAGGGTCCACGGGCCCCTCAAGCTGTTGTGTTGAGATCAATACACAATATATAGTGGCTTATGATGTTATCCTATAGTCTCTGGAGCCTCCAGACGTTTGATTAATATTACATTACTTGGCCATTAAGGTCAAACCAGTGCTTATGTTTAAGTTTAAATCAAAAGCTCACTGAGAATGAATTCTTCAGTACATGCTAAATATGTGTGAAAATGCTTGTTTTCAAGGGGATTTCTAAGTGTTAAAAATGTGATTATTTTGAACACTGACAAAAAAAGGCCGGTGTTTGAATCAAAAGCCTATAAAAAGCTAAATGGGAGTTGATTCAATTCAGCGATGATAATCAGAGTGATAACATGGTGGAAATAAAGAGCTCACACAAACATCTCCACCCAGTTTCAGGACACCAGGAGCTAAGTAGTTGGATGTCACTTACTGTCTCCATTTACTTCTCCATTTTGCGGCTATAAAATAAGATCATTTCACAGAGCATGTATAATTCACAGACCTGAGCCAGCCATGTGTGATGATGGGATACACACACACACACACACACATTGACAGATAGAGTTTTTTCAGGCGAAGGGAACCATATATCTCATTCTCACGTGAAGCTCTTAGAGATAGGGCTGCATAGACTTGAGCTTGAAACCACAGGAGAGCAAGGCTATGGCAGACTGAAATATCAAGGTTAAATAACATTTACACAAAATCCATACTGTCAGAACCAAATGTGGAACGTGGTGCAACCTTATATAACTGACAATTTCGAAAACTGAGAGCTCCCCTTTGCATATACTTATATAACTGCAACTTCATGCAGGGATGTACACGTATATGATGAGTCTTCTTAAATCCGGCTTTTTTTTCAGACATAAAAGCAAACCCAAAGCATTGAGCGATTCAGTTGTGATCAAAGAGAACTGCAACATTATATAAGACATATGCACAGTGTGAGAAATGGACTAGCCACCAGACTAATCCAAGCATTTTTGACCGTGGCGGAGAAGTTTGACATGACAGCCATTTTGGAGGACTAGACAAAAAAGACTCGTTGACTGGGGTGATGTTTAATGTGGCTGCTTCATGCTGACATGCCCATCAGTGATTCCTGAGGAGGAAAAGGTCATTTTATCCCCCTGCTGATGGGATGTACGACTGGTGACTACAGATGTTGCACTTTGAAAAATCCTCTGCATTTCAGTTCAGGATACAACTCTATTTCTTGAAACAAAATGCTGGGACTGTTGAAGGAACTCAAACAGAGGAGGGGGACAAATGTTCTCCCTCCCTCTTTCTCCACCTCCCCCCCTCTCTCTCTACCTTCACTCCATCTCCCACCCGCCCCAGACATGCTGGTTTGGTCCATTTGTCTGTGTTGTCTTGGGAGGAAGTGCCATCTCATCTCACATTGCGCAAATGGTTTCAATGCTTGCTAGTGTGAATTCTAGCGCGTTTTTGTAGCTGCCAATTTCCATATCAAAGTGTCTGAATTTCAATAGGGAGAACTTGAGCTACCAGCCCCCTTCCTCTGAGCAGTTTTGTTCTGAGAGTGTTGCTGCCGCTGGTGGTGGTAGAGACTTCTGACAGGATTGCTGGACACTGTGTGTGTGTGTGTGTGTGTGTGTGTGTGTGTGTGTGTGTGTGTGTGTGTGTGTGTGTGTGTGTGTGTGTGTGTGTGTGTGTGTGTGTGTGTGTGTGTGTGTGTGTGTGTGTGTGTGTGTGTGTGTGTGTGTGTGTGTGTGTGTGTGTGTGTGTGTGTGTGTGTGTGTGTGTGTGTGTGTGTGTGTGTGTGTGTGTGTGTGTGTGTGTGTGTGTGTGTGTGTGTGTGTGTGTGTGTGTGTGTGTGTGTGTGTGTGTGTGTGTGTGTGTGTGTGTGTGTGTGTGTGTGTGTGTGTGTGTGTGTGTGTGTGTGTAGTGCTTTTGTTGGAAGCAGATTCAGTGTGGATTGGAAGAAATTGTTGGCCATAATCTAACACCAGAACAGAAGCCATGTATTTAGCGGAAATGTTGGATGCCGTTCAGTGACGTGGTTATGTTAAAAAGATTTTGTCCTGTTAAAACATTTAGCCCAGTATTCCACAGCAAGAGTATACAACATCAAGAAAGGTCTTTATTGGATTTTCAGGGAGGAGAACCCACTGCGTCCATAGCGAGAAAAAAGACAAAGCATAAATAACTTGACGAAAATCTGTTTGCTTATTTTGCCTGGTAATTTTCCCGTACCAGACAACGCCAGAAATGCTCAAACTGAATTTGTTTTCAGGTGCTAAATAAATTGCTTAATTCCACATTCAGCGAGTGTAGATGTGAAGACGGAGAGCATTCAAGCTTTGTGAGCGACTCTGAGTATCTAGTGGTGTCTGATTGTTTTTCTGTCGCTGAGATAATATTTATTTCCCATTCTGTGCAGCTGTTGTTTGTCGGTGAAAGACTGCGGCAGGATACTGTTTATTTTTGATGGATTTCTTCTTTGTCTTGTGAAACACGGCCTAATGTTCTCTGCAATTTAAGGCTGGTTTAATAGAGGAGCATTTTGACCAAGCACAAAGGGAAACAATAAAGTGCTTTCTTGCCTTTTTGCATGCCCTTACTTTGGAAGTAGCATCAGCATAGGTTAATAGCAAAAGAAAGTACAGCGTGTAAGATGTTATTACACGGAGACAGGGAATTTAAATGCCATTGGGAGCGCAGTAGGGGTCGGTGGCCCCTTCATGGTCATCCCGCTCCTGGATAATAACATGAGCCAACCTGCTAGAGAAGAGAGCTTGCTCCTTTCTTTGTTCGGACAAAATAACCTCACAAAAGTATAAAAAAGGAGCCACGAGTGGAAGTTTTTAACCCGGAGAGCAGGAAGGGGAAGGAAAAAGAGAGGACTTCACCTGCCATCTTCCCTCACGGTTGACGAGTTTGACAGCTGTCTTGTTCAGTTTCTCTGACACGCTCACAGTGAAAAAGTTGAACAAACAAATGGAGAGAAAGAGGGAGTGATGAATGACGGTAGAAGAGACAGTTTTGATTGCATTTGACTTGTCTTTGTGATGAATTGTGTAATTCCCTTTTCCTGTTGAACTGCCTTTATAGCAGTCCTTTCCTTTTAGATATGTTTCCTACAATGACATCTGACAAAGCCCATAGAAAAGGTTTCTTCCTGCTTACATATGTGTGGGAGGATAGGGCAGGGGCGACAGCAATAGCAAGTGTGGTTAGTTTTTTAAGTCGAGCAAAAGTGAGAGGAGTGGAAATCTTACCGTGGTGTCCTGGGCCAAGCCTGGTTGTTCAAATTATTGAAAAGCTGCTGAAGAGGAGAGGTGCATGCATTCTGCTCTTTCGAGGCTGCCATCAGTGGAGAAATAGACATCAGTGCTCATCCTACGATGGATTTCTTGCTTGGCGGAGTGTTACTGCAAAATGGTCTGGAGTCTAGAAAGTAGTCTCTGATTCTGAAGTGCTGACACCAAACCTGACATTTACCAGGGATTCTTTGAAGAGGCACCCACCCCAGAAAATATTTTTCAAACGACATCGAAGCTGTTCACATTTAGCCCAAGAAAGAAGAAAAATATGCAGCAGAGTAGCGGAAGAAACGCAAGGGCATTTTGTTTATTCAACAAAGTGCTACGGGGGTTAGTCTCTGATTTAACTGCAAAAACCCATCATAGCCATTTGGTGGCTAGCCTCAAAAATAAAGAGACAGATGACTGGAACGAATGATTACGCGTTAGGGTAGTTAACTCGATGGATGGATATATAGTCTTGCCCCTTTCAGCGAGAAAATATATCTGAGAGAGGGAAAAATCTCTCCCCTACGACCACCTCCTGTGTTTAAAATGACAGTTAACTTTCCCCCACTGGTTTAAAATGGATGTTTAATGATCAACAGAGGCTTGGAGCTAAGGTCTAGCAGTCACGCTGGCTCTCATCGCAAAGCTAAGAAAGCTCCCCTCTCTGTGTTGTTTAAAGGACGCTCCTGCTCTAAAGGAGGCTGATTCCTGAGTGATGGATCATCAGAGGTCTCTTTGGGTTGTGTGTTAACCCTTTGGTGTGTGCAGATCTCTCCCTGTTGGAGGCCGTTGGCGGCGTGTGATGGATGTGTCCCGGGTCTTTAGGCCCCGTATATCAGAAGATTAGCACTGACCTGTGAGTTGTCTGGGCCGCCCTCGGAGCTTCTTCTCCAACACTGGCTGACATTAGCATATGAGGACACTGGTCTGTCTCAGGGGGAAACAAAGATAGTGTTCTTTATTTGGTTCTGTCATAGTATAGGTCACAGGAAGTGTGCAGATTAAAGGCCGAAGGCTTTGTGTTGCTATTAGGTGTTTCTGACAGGTCATCTGTCTTCAACTGGGGAAATACCTCTCTCTTCCTCAAATTCCTAAATAGTATCATATAATTATCCTAGAAATTGAGGTTCAGGCCATGCTTCACTGCAGAAAAAATCTCCAAAGTATTCAGGAATCACATAAAAATGCAAATCACTCTACTGATCTGGTGTAACATTGTTATTTCTCATTTTGCATTAAAATGAAAGAAATTGTAACAGGTATACAACCAAACTCATGATTATTTTCCAATTGAGCAATCTGCAGGGACACCGCACGTGATAGAAGGCTTGAATTATTTTATTAAATGCTTTCACATGAGAGGTGCATTTGTTTTCCAGAGAAACATGTTACTCTGTATATTAAAAGGCTAAATTGATCATTTGTACAACAGATTCTCTAAAATATCATGAAATCCTTCCATATGTTAGTACTCTCTTAACACTGAAGTGTCATATCCATTTTGTTTTCGTGTGTCTAAGGATAAAAATGCTTTTTATGCCAGTTTTCGGAGTGCTGTTTTAAAAAAACATACACTGGATTACCCGTCAACTGTCAGT